CGAGTAGCTGGAATTACAGGTGCCTGCCACCATGCGTGGCTAATTTTTTTGTATTTTTAGTAGAGACAGGGTTTCATCATCTCTAGAGCCAGGCTGGTCTTGAACTCCTTGACCTCGTGATCCACCTGCCTGGGCCTCCCACAATGCTGGGATTACAGGCATGAGGCACCATGCCCGGCCTTACTAATTTCTTAGGAATAATTTTATTTTGTTTTATACTTATAATCCTCATGTGTTGCCATTTACATTATAACTAAACACCAGTTCTCTTCTCAATCATCTGCTTCCTAATGCTGAGAAGAATTCTTTACTAGCTAACACCATTCCAGGTGACAGTAATGTGAGTGAAGTTGCTCTCTTGCTTTGGGGAAGTTCCTTGTGGAGATATCTGGGAAATGTAGTCTCCTAAGTATCAAGCAAAAAAAAAAAAAAAAACCAAAAAAAAAAAGCAACACCACACAAAAACCCACACATACACACATGAGGATGGGACAGCCAGGCATGGTGGCTCAAGCCTGTAATCCCAGCATTTTGGGAGGCTGAGGGTTGCTTAAGCCTAGGAGTTGGAGACCAGCCTGGGCAACATAGTAAAGCCCCAACTCTATTAATAACTAAAACACCATGGGAACAGATAAAAAATATTTTAATGGCAATCTCAGAAATGTTCTCCTGCTAAACATGTAATAATTACATGGCTTCCTTTGGTTTTGCTTTAAGTGTAAAAATGTCATTTATAATTTCAGTGAGCATTAGAGGAGATAAAACATTTTATCAATTAACTTGCTGACATAAGCATTAGATATTTTGGACAGAAGGCCTCAACATTTCACATGGCTCTTTCAACTAGTTTCCTATTCCTGCTACAATTGCTCTCCCATGTTTTTCTAGAAAACATAATATAATGATGGCTATCTGATAGGATACAGTTTAACTGAATGGAGGACAAAATATAATCAATGTCCCCTCTAAAATGTATTAGCATTTGTTGCAAAAAAAAAAATGGATTTACTGTAGCTCAGAGATACAGAAAAAGATTTGACTGTGAAAAGCAATAGTAAACTTAAAATAATTATTTTTTCATGTGCATTATCAATATTAACTGTTTCTCACCAGGCCAGTACTGCAGAGTCATGATGTAAATCAGTGAAGTCACTTTACAGATTCTTCTTTTGGAAAGTCAGCTTGGGGCAGAGAGTAGAGGGTACCAAATTCAGCACTGGCAAGAGTAAACAGACTTAAGGACTTAAGAGCCTTAAGAGACTTAAGACAAAAGGACTTCCAGGATGGCATCTGGCCGAATGTTCTCATAGAACACTGGGGCCTGGCACAATGTGTGCTTGCTTTCTCATTCACTTAGTCAATATTTATTGAGCTCCTACTATGTGTTAGGCACTGCTCTGGGTACTGGAAATACAGCAAGGGAAAAAACAAAGTTCCTTCCCCCCATGAAGTATACATTCTAGTGGGAGTAATAAATGAGAAATAGTAAATATATACTATGTCAGCTGGTAATTAAATATAGCAAAACTAGGGGCAAAGTGGGTGGAGAGGAGGGAGTTAGTATTTTATGTAGAATGGTTAAGGAAGGCCTCCCTGAAACTGTGACATTTGAGCAGAGACCTGGAGGAAGGGAAGGATTGAACCAGGTGGCTCTCTGGTGTGTCCTAGGCAAAGGAGACAGCAAATGCAAAGGCCCAGCAATGAGGCCTCAGCAAGAAGGACAGCTTGATGGGAGAAAAGTGAGTGATGGGGAGAGCCAAACAAGATGAAGTCAGAGAGCTGGAGTAAGATGAGGGCATGTGGCCGAGAGCGATATGGAAAACCACTGGATGGTTTAGAACAAAGTAATGACACATCAGACAGGGCTGGTTCAGAAAGAAGGAGCCCATTCTCACTCCACCTATTTTCCCACACATGAAGCAGAGACTTAAGACAAAAGGACTTCCAGGATGGTGGAACCAGGCCCAGAAAGTGAGTTAACTTATCTAAAGTTGCATGGCTAGAAGGGAAGGACTAGGCAGAAAATCCAGTTTTTTGGACTTTTTGGTCCTCTTGTTTCCCCTGTGATATCAGAGGGAAGACAGAGGGAAAAGAGCCACAATGAACATTTTAGGTTGTGATATCTTATCTCTCTGAGATCCTTCCAATGATTCACCTTTTCACTACTTCAAAGGAAAACATTTTCATTTTCAGATATTTAAGATTCCTGCTATCATTTTTCTTAGTATCCCAAGTACTGCTTGCCATTCACATTAAATAACCCTGGTACTCAAACTTCGTTTGGGTAGTGAAAAATGTTCCTAAAGGCTTTTGGATAAAAATGACTATTTAACTAGAGCCAACTATGTGCCAGGGAGTGAGATTGGTATCATCATCCCACGTTACAGAAGAAAAAGCTGAGACCCAGAGAGGTGAAGGGACTTGCACAGGGTCACACAGCCTGTTAGCTGACCAAGACGCTTTCCACCATGCCCGACCGATCGCCCAGCTCAGAGTACCGGCTGGTGTGTAAGTGGGAGAGGACCCTGCTCCCCGTGTGCTTGCGTCTCTGCTCCCAGGGCCTCTATAGCAAGATACCAACTATCTCTTTAAGAAGGAAAGTAAAGACGGGCCCGCTTACGCAGCTGCCGGCGAGCCGCCGACTGGCTGGTCCCCTCCATCCACCTCACCCTCCCCGCCCCTCCCTCCCGGCAGCCCCAGCCCCGAGGAGCACCCAGCTAGCCGCCTCCTGCAGGGGCTCGGGAGAGCAATTCGGCGGCCCCCGCAGGGCAGCTGAAGCCATGGAAGCCTCCGCAGGTGATGACAAGGACCCCGGGGACCTCCAGGCCCACCGCCCAGCTGCACCCGCCGCAGCCCAGAGTGCCAAGTGCCAGAGGGTGGGGTGGGGTGGGGTGGGGGCCGCGGGCCGCGAGGAGGAGGGGACTGAGCACCAGGCAGGCAGCCTGTCCTCCAAGCCTTCTGGCTAAAGCGGCCCAGCTGTCAGCGGCCGGGGGCTCAGCTGCCCGTGTGTTCCCCGCCTGCGCTCACCCGCCCCTGTCTCTCTTTTTCCCAACCCCGCAGGTTGCTGATCAGGGCCTGGCGGCTGCAGCAACGACTGCAGAGGCGCTGCGCCAAGCCGGGCCGGAGTGGTGCGAGCCGGCGGGGCTGTGGAGGGCGAGTGGGCTCAGGTGAGGAGGCCGCGGCGGAGCTGGGAGCTGGCCCTGCGCTGCACCGCGGCAGGTGGGGGCTGCTTGCAACCGCTTGCTGCGGTAGAATCCCTTGGAGGGCACCAGCCTAAGAGGGGTTAATCGTGACTCATTCTTACCCTCCCTTCGTTCCCCTACATCCCTTTAAGCTCTTCCTTCCCTTCCCTTCCGTGAAATTTACGAATTAGAGGGTGCTGATTGCAGCAGGGAAGATGCCCAAAGTGGGCGATTAGGAGGTTTTTAGGAAACCCCACCCCTCCCAATTTTTATTTGTTTTCCTCTCTGGCATTTGGCAAACATTTAAGCTTCTCTTTTCCTTCTTGGGGGAGGAACAAGGGTACCTGGAGGTGGGAGAAGGATGGAACCCCACACCCACCCCAAGGTCAAGTGCCAATGACTGCTTCCATCCCATCTTTCCCTCTGAGAAGCATCAGGGCCCTGCAGTAGATCTGGGGGGAAATGCCCTTAAGTCCTCGAGTGGAAGAGCTGAGCCTCAGTCTCCACGGAGCTTCCCTGGGATATGAAGCCTTCCACTTCCCAGCAGGGAGCTGTGCTGTTTGCAACACCTACTGGCCTGGGGAGCCCCATCTTCCCTTCCCCAACCCTGCAGACTGAAGGAGAGGCCAGTCACATGCTGCCTGTTTCCTCTGCCTTCTCTGCCCATCTGGTGGTGTGGGGATGGGTTGGAGGCTTCTCAGAAAAAGGTGGTCTCTGCAGGCAGAGTCATGTAAGGGAAGTGCCAGAAATTGGGGTTCTAGGCCCTTTGTTAATTAGCCACAAGTAGCCATCTTAAAATTGTTTAGGCGTGGGTGTCTGCTCATCTGTTAAATGCAAGAATTGGATTAAATGATCTGTATAATTTCAGTGTATCACTCAAGCAGCTTTTACATGTCATGGGGACCCCTTGCTAAGGCAATTTAAATTTAGGTCCATGAAATAACTGGGGTTTCCTCAGTTGATCTCTTTCAACTCTGGACTTCTCAAGTGAAACACTGACCTTGTGGGCCACAAGGAACTGGAGGCACCAGACAGCCCTATGGTGACATCCATGTACTGCCAAGTGACTTCCCTTCCCCCATCTTCAGTTTCTCCATCTGTAAATCTAGGGGTACACCTGCAGAGGGCTGATGCGAAGATTAAGTGAGGTGTATGTGGAAGCACCTAAAATAGTGCCTGTGCCTGGCACATAGTAGGTTCTCAGGAACTCAGGACTTAGGAGATAGACTGGGGGAAGGGAGGAAGAGGTGGCTGCTTATAGTCATCTTCTCCTCCCCCTCCCCCTCCCCTACCAGTCTCTTCCACACCCCTGCGGATGGTGTCCCTGCCAGGGGTAATGAATGCTGAAGTGTGCTGGGCCACCAGGCTCAGAGCCTAGGCAGCAGCATTTCCACTGCAAGGACTGTGACATCATTCCAGCAAATGATGGTCCCAAGGAGACCTATAGCCCAGCATTGGGTTTGGAAAATCCTGGCATCCAAGGGCGGAGTCTCTGAGGGAACAGAAGCAGCAGAATCTTGTGTGCTGGCAGCAGGGCAGGGATCAGGTCTTCCAGATCTCATGCGAATCCCACTGCGGCTCTCTTGCTCTCCCTGGAGTGTCTCCCTAGAGTCACCCTGAGGCCAGGAGTCATGTTTTTGGTGCCTGTATTTTCAATTCTTTATCTTCCTTCCTGCTGTCATTTTCAGCCTAGCACACGTCTTTTTCCCCTCTATTCCACAGATACCTTCTGCCTTTTGACAGCATGGTAAAGGAAGTTCCCCACAGGGCCGGGTGGAGGGTGTTGCCGCTGCACCATTTGGGCCAAAATAAGTTGTCATGTCCCCCCACCTCCATTCTCAATTTCTGTTTGGCAGAGGCCCTGTCATTTTCCTTTCTATGTCTCCAGCCTCTGGCCCATGAGTCAGCCCAAAGTAGGTGCTGTAAGTATTGAATGAAATGAACTTGAGGAAATTATGTCCCTAGTCCAACTAGGTTAGGGAGAAACTAGGAATGTGTTGATTGTAGAGGTGAAAGTCCTTTTAAGTGTAGGATATCATACAGGTTGTTGGTTGTCATTATTATTATTTCTACTACTGTTATTATTGCTATTACTGGTGGTGAACAGATGCTTTGCCTACCCCCTAAGGCTCCTGACTAGACCGAAAGGGGCCAGATGTGCCTGGGAGGGTGGTGATGTTGGCAAAAAGGGATCCAGATGGCACTGGTTGGTGTGACATGACTGTGAAGGCAGGATTGGGAAGGGAATGATTCTAGTCATTTTCTGTGTGTGAGGGAGGGGAGCAGATAATTAGAATCAAGTGGCCAACGTGGATATGCAGTAGAAAGTCATGAAACCCAGGTCCAATGTCCCATTCAACCACCACCTTATTACATGACCTTGGGCCAGTCAGGCCTCCCCTCAAGGCCTCTGTGTGCCCGTCTATATAATGATGGGACTGGACTAAGTCATCTTTAATACCCCTTCTGCTTCTGACATTCTGTCAAGTGGATTTTGTTAAATAAAAATCAAACAATTATTATTACCCTCAATGTCATTTCTGAAGTCCTAGACCATTAACTATCTGAGGTAATCCTTATAGCAAATAATGCCTATTTCAAAGATGAGGAGACTGAGGCTTGGAGAGATGAGTGACTTGCTCATGCTTGCACAGCAAGACCTGTTACCTGACACCAGATCTGTCTGGAACATGCTGTGCCAAAGGTTTCACTTCCTCTTCATGCATACTTTGCTGATGCTATGAGCTGTGTGTGCATTTGCAAATGTGTATAGGGGTGTGGAGAAGAAAAAGCTGTGAACATTTTATGGTGAGACATCAGGCGTTTCTCTCAAGTGATTGTTGCAGGGTACTTCCTGGTTGAAAACTGTGAGAGTCAGGAATGGTGAGTTTTCCTTTCATCAAGATCTCTCCTTTGCTGATGGTTGGTGGGTGCCCCTTTACCAAGGATAATGGTTAGGCCTGAATGACAGTCAAGACAGACACGTTTTTTGAGTCGTCTTCTTTTCTGAGATGGAGTTTCATTCTTGTTGCCCAAGCTGGAGTGCAATGGCACAATCTTGACTCACTGCAACCTCCACCTCCCAGGTTCAAGCAATTCTCCTGCCTCAGCCTCCCAAGTAGCTGGGATTACAGGCACGTGCCACCATGCCCAGCTAATTTTTTGTATTTTAGTAGCAACAGGGTTTCACCATGTTGGTCAGGCTGGTCTCAAACTCCTGACCTTGGGGTGATCCGCCCACCTTGCCTCCCAAAGTTCTGGGATTACATGCATGAGTCACTGCACCCAGCCTTGAGCCTTCTTATGTGTTGTGCTCTGTTTTACAGAGGTTTAATTATTTACTGCTCAGATTATCCCATTATGTAGGCACTATTATATATATATATATATATATATATATATATATATACATATATATATATATATGTATATATATATGTATAAATTTACCCATTTTTATAAGTGAGAAAGCCAAGGCAGAGAGGCAAAGGGTCTTACCTAGAGTTGTGCAACCAGTGTGTCATAGAACCTAGAAAATGTTTAGCTGAAAGTGCACTGGACTGGGTGTTCAAAGGGTTGCTTTTAGTCTGAGCCCTTCCAATGACTGTGTAACCATGGGTAAGCCAGTTTCCCTCTGAGAGTTCCCATCCCTCAAATGATCGCATGTGTCTACTGGCTCTAAAAGGCCTACATGCAACCTCGTTCCAGTATTGGAGGTGGAGGGGATTCCTTAACTTGCTGAACATTGATCAGCATTTGTCATTTATTACCTAGGCCCTGGGCTAAGTGTACAGCATACAAGAAAGAGTAAATGGCGAGTCCTAGTTTTAAGAAGCTCGTATCTAACAGAGGGAGACAGATGCCTAAACATGTAGGTATGAGAAAATATCTGGAAGCTATAAGACATACTGATATGTGTGTGAGGGGGTAGGGAGACAGAGGGAAGGGAATGATCTTTCTTACTGAGTGGGTCAGGAAGGCTTTAGAGAGATGATGCCATTAACATCTCTTTATTTTTGGCATTGAGTTTGTGAATAATAATTTAATAATAATAGTATAGGGTTCTATCCCATTTAGAATGTTTCCAAACAGCCCTAAAGACTTGTTGGCTCCTGTCTTCATCAATCTAGAAGGTGGACACAGAGTCTGGGGGACCATCCAAGCTCACTCCGTGGCACAGTTTTGATGGAACTATCCATTTGTCCCAGGTAGACCAGAACCTTTCCTGTCCTTAGAGGCTTCTAGAAGCAGGTTTCTGAAATTCTTCTGAAAAAGACTGTCTCGCGCCTATAACCATCTGATAGGCTTGGGTAATTTTTCTTCATGTCCATTCTAGGCATTCCACCTGTCTGGAGGAGCACCTAACACCTGAGAAGTGAAGACATGTGCCTAAGATTATTCAGCAGGGCTTGGTTCATAACTCTGGCCTAATGGGAATTGCATTTCTGAGCCACATGGGGTCTTTCTACATCTAGGCCACCAGAGGCCCGGGGTGCCAGTTCTTCATTTGATGGGCAGCTGGTGCTGAGGGAAGTCTTGATGCAGGTGATGTGAAGCTGAAGCTGAGGGCCTTGGAGAGGCAGAGGCCTGTGTGTCCCAGGCTGCTTTGCATTAATCAGATATTTATGAGTGTTTGTCGCATGCTCAGCACTGTCCTCTGAATTGAGGTGCTGAGCCAACCAAAAGGGAGTGGCTGGGAAGCAGCCTGACGCAGCAGGCAGAGCCAGCACAGAGGAGTCAAGAGACCTGGGTCCTCACCCCAGCTCTGCCATTGACCCACTGGGTGGCCTTAGGTCAGACCCTTTGCTTTTCCATGCTTGTAAAATGGGAGTCAGGGGTGATGATCTCTAAGAGCTTTTTTAGCTCTGAGTGGCTAACAATTCAGCAACTCTTTCTTCTTCCTTTTCTTTTCTTTCTTTCTTTTTTTTTTTTTTTTTTTGGAGACAGAGTCTTGCTCTGTTGACCAGGCTAGAGTGCAGTGGCATGATCCTGGTTCACTATAACCTCCGCCTCCCAGGTTCAAGTGATTCTCCTTCCTCAGCCTCCCAAGTAGCTGGGACTATAGGCATGCACCACCATACCTGGTTAGTTTTTGTATTTTTAGTAGAGATGGGCTTTCTCCATGTTGGCCAGGCTGGTCTCAAACTCCTGACCTCAGGCAATTCACCCGCCTTGGCCTCCCAAAGTGTCTTTCTTCTGTTCTGTAATGACTTTAAGGGGTAGAAGGGTGGATAGGATACATATAATTTTAATTTGAGGAAGAATAAGACAAATATAATAAGTATGAACAAATATAATAAGAATTATGTTCTGTGGATTTGCTGGAGGGAGAGAGCTGGGGAAAAGCTCAGTTCAAAAGCCACCTCTGCAAAAATAGAATGATGCAGATACGGTTAGATGAAGTTATATGTTTTTGTTTTTTGTTTTAACCAAGAGGAGTAGCAGAATATTGCTGTCATACTGGGACAGGAAGTCTGTAGCAGAGCAGTGGGTCCTGGGCTTAGATTTCATAAAGATAAGTGCATTTGTGAATCCATCCTAGGTTGGCTAGCTTTTTATTTTACCAGATGAGGACCTTCAGATGACACTTAGGGTTCTCTTTACTGTCATTACCATATAATAAGAGAAAGAACATTTTAATACTTCTATTCCCACAAGTAAGAAAGCCATGTTATCAGAAAAAATTAGCATTCCTTCAAATTGAATACGTTTTTGCTTTGTTAGAATTTCACTGCCCTGTCTATATTTTCTTCATTTTGCCATGGACTAGTGTTCCTGTGTTTGGCTCTGAAGTTGGGCTGCTGGGGTTTGAATTTTGGCCCAGATATTTTTTTCCCTCAGAGCCTTTGTTTCCTCATCTGTAAAATTGGGAAATGATGTTGTCTCCTAAGGTCATGAGAAAGTCTCTACAGCAAAATGAAAGATGTTAAGCAAGGGATGTCAAATGCTATTGTCTACAAAGGTAAAACAGGCCAGGGTTGTAGCAAATTGGAAAGTGCTTGCTTGAAAGAGGCAGCTGCTATCCTGCTCCCACCCTTCTTGCCTACAAGAACATGTGCCCAGTGTTATCAGATCTTCTGATTTATAAGATAGGACTCTGGGCCGGGCGCGGTGGCTCACGCCTGTAATCCCAGCACTTTGGGAGGCCAAGGCGGGTGGATCACGAGGTCAGGAGATCGAGACCATCCTGGTCAACATGGTGAAACCCCGTCTCTACTAAAAATACAAAAATCAGCTGGGCATGGTGGCGTGTGCCTGTAATCCCAGCTACTCAGGAGGCTGAGGCAGGAGAATTGCCTGGACCCAGGAGGCGGAGGTTGCGGTGAGCCGAGATCGCGCCATTGCACTCCAGCCTGGGTAACAAGAGCGAAACTCCGTCTCAAAAAAAAAAAAAAAAAAAAAAAAGATAGGACTCTGGATATTTGTTTGTGACATCTCCTAATTTTTAAAATTTGACTGACTAGGCACATATTAAAATGTGTATGTGACAGGCCATCAGTCTGTGACCTCAGATGCAAAGTTTTAGATGCTGGGCACATAGTGCTCAGTAGTTATTGGCTGGCCCACAGACAAAGGCGGAGAAAGGAAAGAAGGCTGGAAAGGCAGCCTAGGCCAGGGAATGCCTTGTTTGCAAGGCTGGGGCATTTAGCCTGACGTTGGCAGCTTGTGATCTTCTGCTTCTGGCTCCCCCAGCTTCAAAGGCCCTGATGGTGCCCCTTCCCTTTTGGCAACACTGTTAGGATTGAGTCTCTGGGGACAGAGGCCTCCAGATAACCTCTGCACTCCTTGAAGTTGGCCCTAGCCATACCTCTCTACCACAGGGTCTCTAAAGCTTGGTTGGCAGCTTCAGAAGAGGAAACTTGGCTAGTGGTCTGTGCACGCTGGCACAGGAGCCACCTTTGAGAAAGAGGCGTGAAGAAAGGTGCCTGGCAGGTCCTCAGTGTGTGGGATAGTTCCTGTGTTCCTATTCTTTTTTTTTTTTGATGGAGTCTCGCTGTGTTGCCCAGGCTGGAGAGGCTGGAGTGCAGTGGCATGATCTTGGCTCACTGCAACCTCCACCTCCGGGTTCAAGCAATTCTCCTGCCTCAGCCTCCTGAGTAGCTAGGACTACAGGCACATGCCACCATGCCTGACTAGTTTTTTGTATTTTTAGTAGAGACGGGGTTTCACAGTGTTAGCCAGGATGGTCTCAATCTCCTGACCTCATGATCTGCCCACCTCGGCCTCCCAAAGTGCTGGGATTACAGGCGTGAACCACTGCACCCCACCAGCTCCTGTTCTTTGGAAGCCATGCCAGCATTGCAGCAGAGCTGCTGCTGCCCTCTTCTTCGGTTGTGCTGTGGTCCGGACAGCAAGCAGTCTCTCTGTGGACAACTCTGCCACATGTTCCCTGCAGAGGGAAAGTTGGGATCTGGTTGTAGAGAGAGCCTAGAGTGTTCTTAGAGAAGGATCTCACAGGACCTCTTAATTAGCAGAAGGAACCCTACCAGGGCTTCAGGGCCTTCTAGGATTCAGCTTACAGCCACTGATGACAGTTTACATTTTTTGTGGCTCCAGTAAATCAAATATTCATTAAGCACCTATGATGATAAGGTTCTATTCTGGCCACAGTGAAGAAATGTAAAGAAGTATTTATATCCATTCATTCAACCAGCATGTACTGGGGATCTGCTCTACACGCAGGCACCAAGATGTGGTCCTTACCCTCAGGTAGCTGTTTAGCCTGGTTGGAGGGAAGGTATGTGAGTGGTGCACAGGGCCTGACACATAGAAATATTAACCACAGCTACCATTTGACTGTGTGTCTTCTGAGTATGAGGTGCTAGCCATCATAGCACCCATTTTACACAGTGGATAGGGATTGAATGGAATCTTCATCTAAAGCTCTGAGCACTGTGCCTGCCACACAGTGATAGAACTGCATTATTGGTAGCCTGGGAAACTGGGCCGACGCAGAAGAAAGGCAACATACAGATGATTCAAAGACAAAAAGAAGCAGTCAACCAATCCAGGCTCACTTAGCATATGTTATTCTCGTTTTATAGAGGAGGACACTGAGACTTAGAGAGGGGAAGGAATTTGTTCAAGGTTACACAGCTGCTGTGTTGCAGAGCCTATGCTTAGATGCCAGTCTGTTTGGCATCAGAGCTGTGTTCTTTCCTCTAAGCCATACTGCCTCTTGGTGAACAAAAAATAAATTCAACTACCATTTGTTGAACACATGCAACAGGTGAGGCACTGTGCTGCTTGGTAAGATAGGAAGTGTTTTAATTGTTAAGGAAGCTAGGACCACTAGGAAGAAGAAACTGGCCCAAAGTTATGTAAGCACAAGGGGTGGGATGAGGACTCCAACACAGGTATACAGGATATGGCTTCCCACACTGTAGTGAAGGAATAGTTGTCTTCAGGGGTAAAGGTATTCAAAGTGCAGACACAGGAGAGAGTGTGGGCTTCTGCATGCCCTGAGGGACAGATGCCAGACCAGTCCTTGCAAGTGCCAGCAAAGGCGGCAAATTTTGGCTCAGTTCAAGGGAGAAAAGGGAGAAAATTTAAAAATCTAGTAAAAAATGTGGTTTGAGAGCTAGCACCTCATCTCTGGGCTGCTCACATAGGGCTGGATGTTCTAGGAGGAATTCTTGCCATGGGATGGAGTTTGGAAAGGCTGTTCTTGACAGCTGTAACCCAGATGATCTGGAATTCTAGTATAGGGCTGGTCACAGGTGAGGCAAGCAGTGGGTGCCACTGGCATTCCCAGGAGAAAGAATGGCTGTAGGTCGGGACTATCTGAGAAGACTTCCCAGAGGAAGAGGAGGAACTAGAACAGGATCTAAAGAGCTGGCGCTAGGCAAGGGAGCAGAGGAGGACTGTGTAAAGATGGTGAGTCTGAGGGCACTGAGCTCTCTAGTCAGGCTAGGCCATCAGTCTGGTGCTCTTCAGCAAAGGGCAGCTCCCTGTCCTTTCTGGCTTTTAAAATGGTGGAAACAGAGGCACAATAAATCCTGGGTCCTGGGTCTTTCCCAAAGCCTCATTAGGCAGCCAGTTTGGCACCACTTCCCCCGTATTACTTCCCACACACTCCCTCTGTCTGCATTGTACCATTCACTCTCCCTTCCAGCCTCCCTTTCAGAAGTGGCAGACTTTGGACATCTCGCCCCAGAGGGAGAAGGGGCGTTCTAAACATCTCCTCTGCTGTGAGGGAAATGTCATGGGGCAACCTAAGTCTTCTGACAGTAGCCACCTTCTTCACTTTTGGGGCTCAGAGCCAAAAAAGGAGGAGCTCTATCCACTTAAGCGGCCCTGGGCCTTCTGGGAGCCACTCACTGCTTCAGAGTCAGGCCTGGCTCATTTCCAGTTCCACCACTTGTTAGCCTGTGACTTCAGACAAATTGTGTTACCCCCTGGGCCATTTTCTCATCTGCCAAGGAGAAATCGATTATTCCTGCCTGAAAGGAGATGGGATGATCTGTTGCAGTCCTCTGTGGAAAACAGCCTGATAAAACAACCTTCCTCCTGTTTCTATGGGCCTCGATTGCTTTTCTGACCCTCTAAGTCCCGACTCATGTCCAGGTTAATGATATCAGCTACACTACATGTCAGGCTCAGGGGATATGTGACCTTATAACATCCTCCTGACAGCCCAGGTAAGGAAAGCATTATTATATAAAGGAAAGCCGAACTATAGGAAACTGAAGCAATTTGTCCATGATCCCACAGCTCTTACATGGTGGCTGAGCTACCAAATACCTGATTCCAGAGCCCAAACTCTCCCTGCCCCTCATTTTGCTTTCTCATTCTCCTCTTCTCCCCATTTCTGTCCTCTTAGGCCTGTGAATGTACATTCCTTCCTCCTCAAAGCTTAGGTGGGCTCTTAAAGCAAGGTTGCTAGCCCTGGACCTGATAGGAGTGAGGTGGCCTAAGAGCTAGAGAAGGACATTTTGATGCGTTATGACTTCAGAAAAGTCCCCAAGTGACCCTTGGACATGTTCTACCCCAGTTAGCAGTATTTCCTCCCCGCCATTCCTTTCCACCTCAATTACTTTTACTTGCCCTGTTCCCTCTGCCTGAAATTTTCTTCCTACTAGTACTGCTCTCTCTCCATGTTCAGATCTGTCTCAAAGCCCAGCTCAAACACAATCTCTCAGGGGTCCCACTTCCAACTCCCGCAGCACCTTCACAGAGCCCAGGCTCTTACCAGCCTAAGCTCTGTGCTCTCAGAGGATGGAGAGGACCTGAGCCCTCCACACCTTCCTATTCCCTGACCTGCAGAGACCAGCCCTCCCTGGGTGGCACCCAGGGCCTAGATTGGCGCTGTAGACCATTTGAGCCAACACTCTGTTTTGTGGCTTCCTTCTGGAGAGCCCCTTCCCCCGCCACTGGAGGGGAGCTCCTCACTCTTGGACCATGTGCCTGAGGAAAAAGGCCTCAGAAGCTGTTACCCTGACAGAGGTGGGTGTTATAAGGAATCCCTGAGGCCAGCCATCTGGATGAAAAAGACCAGGATCCAAGCCTAGGCAGCACCAGGCCCCTTGGCCCCCTTGCCCTGCCCTCTAGGTGGTTGAGAAGAGAGAGCACAGACTGGAGCTGGAGGTGCTTGGACTGCTGTCTCCGTCTCTGCCATAGACTGATTTTGTGACTGGGCAAGTCACTTAATTTATCTGACCCTTAGTACCTCAATAGTAAATGTGGGCATTATAATCATAACCCAGGCCTCCTAAGAGCAAAGCTGGCATGGTAATTAAACCAGATTAGAAATCTATGTGTAAAGCCCATACTTAGTCCAGGGGCTTCATTTATTAGACACAGTAGGTGATTAATAAATGCCAGTACCCTTTCATCCATGTTGTATAGGAATTACTTTATAACTTCCCTACTTTTCCAGAGCTTCAACACATCTTCAGTTGATAGTGAGCTCCCTCCTCACTGGAGGTATTCAAACTGGGTCCAGGTGACTGTAGAACAGGAATGTTGTTCAGAGAAACAGAACTTCAGTCAGGTGGATGTTGGGCTTTGAAACCTTCAGATTCTTTGCTGTCCAGAACTTTTGTGATTCTGTGAAGAATCACACTCAGATCTCATTGGTCAATTATTAGAAATCAGTTGGGGTTCAGCTTGGATGTCTGTTTTGCACAGATAAAAGAGAGAATTCTGCTGGAGTTGTGAGCTAATTGAAGGCTTTCTCCCAAGAGGTAACAAGGGTAGAAACAAAATCAGGCCCAGGAGGAAGGGCTCCAAGGGACTCTGTGAAGGGAATCTGGCTGGGATGTTAGGGGCATGTGGCTAGATGTTTAGGTTGAATTTGGGGAAGGCTATACTGTTGCTGCTAGAAATAATTTCCTGGGGCTAGGATTGTTTGTCTCTGAATTCCCAGTGCCCAGCACAAACCAGGCACACAGGAAACACTAGAAAAATGCTGAGTAAATGACAAGAAGCTTTCTTGTCCCTATCAGATGGAATCTTGGGCTGAGAGATTCCTTGGGACTAAAGGCCATGTGGGAGTTTCATACTCTGTGTCTGTGTGTGTATGTGTCTCTTTCTGTATATGTCTATGTCTGTGTGTGTGTCTGTCTATGTCTGTGTGTGTATGTGTGTCTGTGTGTGTATGTGTGCCTGTGTGTGTGTCTGTATGTGTGCCTGTGCATGTCTGTGTGTGCCTGTGTGTATCTGTGTGTGTGTGTCATTGTGTGTGTCTGTGTGTGTGTGTCTGTATGTGTGCCTGTGTGTCTGTGTGTGTATCTGTGTGTGTGTCAGTGTCTCTGTGTGTGCCTGTGTGTCTGTCTATGCCTGCGTGTCTATGTGTCTGTGTATGTGTCTGTATGTGTGTCTGTGTGTGTATCTGTGTCTGTGTAGATGTCTATGTGTATGTATCTGTGTGTGTCTGTGTGTGTCTATGTGTGTGTGTCTGTGCATGCCTGTGTGTGTGTCTGTGCCTGTGTGTATCTGTGTGTGTGCATCTGTGTGTGTCTGTGTCTGTGTGTCAGTGTCTGTGTGTGTGTGGTGTCAGTGTCTGTGTGTGTGTGTTGTTTGTGTTGTTTGCCTGGCTTCCTAAGACAACTCCTGTTTGCTATGCTTCCCCTTTCCTTTTTTCCACTCCTTCCCCTCCTCCTCCTTCTAACTTTATTGAAATATAGTTGATAACAACAAGCTGTACATATCTAAAGTACAGTTTGGTAAATCTTAACATATTTCTTTTTTATTTCTTTCAATTAGCAATAATCATGCCTTGGATAAACCACATTGGCTACGATACTGCCACTGTGCAAAGCTATACTGATGAAACCATCACCACAATTAGGATAGTGAACATGTCCATCATCCCCAAAAGTTTCCTCCCTCCTCATCCTCAGGCAATGACTGATCTGCTTTCAGTCAGTACAGGTTACTTCACATTTTCTAGTAATTTATATAAACGGAATAATATAATATGCACATTTTTGGTTTGGCTTTTTTACTCAGCATAATTATTTTGAGATTCATGTTGTATATACCAATAGTTTATTCCTTTTTTTTTTTCCAAGACAGAGTCTTGCTCTGTCACCCAGGCTGGAGCACAGTGGTGCCATCTCAGCTCACTGCAACCTCTACCTCCCAGGTGCAAGCAATTCTCCTGCCTCAGCCTCCCAAGTAGCTGGGATTACAGGCACATGCCACCATGCCTGGCTTATTTATTTTATTTTTTTTTTGGTAGAGATGGGGTTTCACCATGTTGGCCAGGCTATTCTCAAATTTATATTCCATAGTATAAAGAAAGGATAAATTATCATTTGTTTATACATTCATCTGTTGATGGGCATTTCGTTTTTTCCAGTTTTTTTTTTTTTTTTTTTTTGTGGCTATTACAACTAAAGCTGTTATAAATGTCTGTGTATAAATCTCTCAATTGACATACATTTTCCTATTTTCTTGGGTAAGTTCCTAGGAGAAGAATGGCTATATCATTTGGTAAATATATATGTAACTTTTTAAGAAACTGCCAGAGTGTTTACAAAGCATCTGTACCATTTGACATTCCTACTGGTAGTGTTAAGGGAGTTTCAGCTCTCCTACATCCTCATCAGGACTTGGTATGGTCAATCTTTTTAATCTTAGCCATTCTAATAGGCTTGTAGTGGTATCTCCTTACAGCTTTAATGGGCATTTTCCTAACGACTAGTGACATTTAGCATCTTTTTGTGTCTATTTGACAGCCACATATCATTTTTTGGTGAAGTGTCTGTTCAAGTATTTTGACCATTAATTAAAAAAAAAAAAAACTGGGATGTTGGCCTTCTTACTGAGTTGAATGAGAGTATTTTATACATTCTGGATATAAGTTCCTTGTTAAATATATATTTTGCAAATATACTCTCCCAGTGTGTAGGGCTAGCCTTTAGAGAACCTGATGGAAGTTTCGTACTCAGTGTATATGAGTGGGTGAGAGAGGCACTGATAGAAAGACTGGTTTCCTGAGAGACTCTAACTACTACTGCTGCTGCTGCTGCTTCTTCTTCTTCTTCTCCTTCTCCTTCTCCTTCTCCTCCTTCTCCTTCTCCTTCTTATTCTTCTTCTTCTTTGTGAGACAGCATCTCACTCTGTCACCAAGGCTGGAGTGCAGTGGCACCATCATGGCTCACTGCAGCCTCCACCTCCTGGGCTCAGGTGATCTTCCCACCTTAGCCTCCCAAGGGTCCCAAGCTGGGACCACAGGTGTGCACCACCATATCTGGCTGAATTTTTTTTTTTTTTTTTGAGACGGAGTTTTGCTCTTTTGATCAGGCTGGAGGGAAGAGGTGCAATCTTGGCTCACTGCAACCTCTGCCTCCTGGGTTCAAGCGATTCTCCTGCCACAGCCTCCTGAGCAGCTGGGATTACAGGCATAAACCACCATGCCTGGCTAATTTTTATATTTTTAAGTAGAGACAGGGCTTTGCCATGTTGGCCAGGCTGGTCTTAAACTCCTGTACTTAAGCCATCTACCCACTTCAGCCTCTCAAAGTGCTGGGATTACAGGCATGAGCCACTGTGCCTGGCCCAGATTCCAACTTCTGCATTCAGTTCTTCCCTTCTACCATCTAGAACTATGAAAGTATAGCATCTGGACCTGCATAAAGCTCACAGGTCCCAACAGTCTTATTTTGCAAACAGGGAGCCTGAGTCCCTTAGATGCCATGAAGGTCTAGTGTCAGAGTCCACAAACAGCTCTGCTGTCCAGTGGGGCCTGGCTGGCCCTTGATACCTTTTGTTCCTGTGACCCTGGGTGAGTAAGGTGACTTAGCATCCTTCATCTTGTGAAGATGTGCACAGCAGTGCCTTCCTGTGGATGAGAGGCTGGAGCAGAGCTTTCCAGCTTACCCTTCCAACAGCAAGGGTAAGGAGCATGTGTCAGCACCAAGCCATCAAAAGTCCTTTTGGAGGCAGAGGAGGAGAGGCTATCTATTCAGTAAGGAAGGTTTGTTGAGCTCTACACTGACCAGATTGGGGGATGCACTGGCTGGAGCAGTGCCCACAGCTTTTCGGATTTGTTCTGAGTTGGGTGGAGCCTGGACGAGGGCCTTGTGACCTCTTCTGTCAGACCTTTTTCTCAGCTCACCAGCAGCACACACATATATGTGTGCACACATGTATACATGTAGGCTCAGTAACTCCCAAAAGGTGGGAGACTGTGGTCTACAGGTGGAGATGTGTGTAAACAGCATGTATCCTATTGATGCACCATGAGCTCTGAAAGGGGCATGTACCACAGGGCTGTGAACTCTGTCTCCCTTGAGGCTACACACAAGCATTCAGGCCTGGGTTGAACTTGGAAGATAAGTAGGCTGAAGAGGCTAGGGAGAGCTTTCCAGGGAAGACAGCACTGCATAGGCAGAAGTCCAGTGAATTTTCAAGATGAATTGTGAAGGAAGCGTGTGGGAGACAAGGCTGACAACGCAGACAGAGGTCAGGTTGTCACAACAGCTCTATGAGGTGGGATGTGTTATCTCCACTTTATAGATTGGCAGACTGAGGGGCAAGAGAGATATGCCTCAGGTCTGAGTCATACTCAATGGCAGAGCTGAGTGTCCTGGCCCCAAGTGCTGTGGCCTCCATACTGTACTAGGCTTTGTCCCAAGAGGCTGAGAGGATGGAGCTCTCTCAGGGGCCCTCTTCCTGGTGCCTGAATTGATGGGATGGGGTTCTCAGAACTGCCAGGTCATCTGCTTGGCTGCCTGACTTCCCTCAGCAGGTGTTTACTAAGCCTTGATTCTGAATCTAGCTCTGTTCCTAGCACCTGGGAAGACTCCAAGCCTCTGGAGGCATGATGCCCGTTCCTCTTTTAGCCCTTGCAGGATAACAGACACCTAGCCAGGTTCCCAAGCCCAGGGTGCCGCTGTTCACAACTCACAGGCCAGAACTGCCACTGCAACTCTGGATAGAGTGGGGTCTGTGTTTGTATGTTTTCAGCTGGGTAAACTGCCCCCCCGAATAGGGTTTTATTATTGAGGGAGGAGGGCTAGAACATTGGGTACGCAGCAAAGCTAACCCACTTAGGCCTTAGTGTCATCACGATTCTTCCCTCTCCCTCATTCTCTACAGCCTGTCTTTTCTGGGGGCCCTAAAAAGTCTACTTCCTAAATTTCTCTTGAAGCTCCCTTTACTTCTGTCACCTCGTCACCTCCACTCTCATTTTGACTTTTATAGCCCTCATTAAAACTTCATCATCTCCGACCTCTCCAGGTGCTTCTCCTCATCTCTTCCCAGTCCATATTTGGCAGAGCTGGTACAGGATTATATTCTATAATATAAATCTGACCTTGAGCTTTAGACCTGCCTTGACCTTGAACTGTAAACTTGACTTTGCCCTTAAACTTGATCAGAACTTTTTTCTGTAGGCTCAAAATACACCCCTATTTCCTCCTGGCTCAACCATTCTCTCTACTTTCCCTATGCCCTACACTGTGTGGTCTAGCAGTGCCCAGCCCTCCGCAGCTCTCTTAATCTCTGTGACCCTGTAAATGCTAACCCCTGTTCCTGCCCAGAATGTGTAATGCTCCTCCACAGGTAGCTCCTGGGTACCTGGAGAACAACTATGCACCCATCTTCCAGAGCTCTGCTCGAGGGCACCAGCTTCTAAGTTCTGCAGAGGAGTCCCTCTCGCTTCTAGCCAACCTCTCCCTGACACGTGCTTTGATTATGGGACTATTGGCAGAGGAGGAAGTGGCACACAATAGACACTTGGTAAATATTGACTGAAGCAGCCATGCCAGAGCTGCCACACAGATAGGAAATGCTGTAATTAGAAGGGGGAGTAGCTTTGGGAGGCTTGCTTTCCATCTTGGAGCTAGGCTATTTCTGAGCTAAGCCTTAGTTCACCGCCTGCATTTCCATGGGGCAGAGGGTGGAGGGTGGGGGTGAAGATACTTGCCACAGGGCCGAAGAGACATGGGAAAATCATCTTGGATGATTTGTATGTCTGAGCTTGAACAGTTTGCCTTTTAAGGCTTTGGCTAAGTGCTGGTGGTTTGATCAAGTAGAAAACCCAGCTAATGGATATATATTATGGGTGGGAGAACCAATAGGCAACCTAACCCTTCAGGAAAGCAGTTTGGCAGCACATTCATGCTTTTTGACCCTATAAATCCATTACCAGGGAACCAGCCTAGAGAAATATTTCTAAATACAGAAAAATAATCATGTACAAAGATGCCTATTGTAACATTATTTTTGATAGTTAGAAAGTCTAAATGTTCAACAGAGAGGGATGCTAAATGAACCATGATGGACCTATTAAATGGAATACTATGCAGCCCATAAAATACTTTTTTATAAAGGATATGCCATATGGGCAGTTCTTTTTTTTTGAGAGGGAGTTTCACTCTTGTTGCCTACGCTGGAGTGCAATGGCTCAATCTCAGCTCACTGCAATGTCCGCCTCCTGGGTTCATGTGATTCTCCTGCCTCAGCCTCCTGAGTAGCTGGGATTACAGGCAAGCACCACCACACCTGGCTAATTTTATATATATATGTATATATATATGTGTGTGTGTGTGTGTGTGTGTGTGTGTGTGTGTGTATGTGTGTATATATATATATATATATATTTTTTTTTTTTAGTAGAGACAGGGTTTCTCCATGTTGGTCAGGCTGGTCTCAGAAACTCCCAACCTCAGGTGATCCACCCACCTTGGCCTCCCAAAGTTCTGGGATTACAGGTGTGAGCCACCATGCCTGGGCAATTCTTAAACTATGATAAATTTTGAAAAGATACAAGTTATGTTTTTGCCATGGTTATAACTGTGTAAACATAACCC